TATAAATTTTAACTTGGTTATTTGTTGATGGGTAAAAAATGTTGAGACTTGTTGTGAATTTGGAACAAACCTAGGGTTTGGGTTAAAATCAAAAGAGGGATTTTCAAACTAACGTATTGGAAATGGTTATGGGAGTAGATATGAGCTTGTGTTGTGTTAAAATGGTTGATTTTGGTGTTTGGAATGAGATTGGAAAAATGGGGGTTTTGCCCTAAAATGTATTGAATAATTATTTTGTATAAATAATGAAATTGGTATTGGAGGAATATGAAATTGGATGGAGGCTTATATAAATTGTGGAATTAGATATGTATTATCTCACACCTATGGAAATTTGAATAGTTTATCTGTTATAAAGATTATATATATATATATATATCTGTTTAGAAATACCTATTTTGGGCTATCGGTTATGGATAACCAGGATTGTTATAGAAATTGAATGTAGATTAGGTAAATTAAAACAAATCTCTTAGCCATTATCATTGAATATGATTATGATTTATATACATTGTACATGTATGATGTTTGGGAGGAGAAAGGGGATGTACTCCATGTTTGGGAGGAGAAATGGGATGGACTCCATTAAACTAAGTTGGCCTGTGTCCAAGGTGAAAGTCTTGAAAATCGTACGTATACATAGGTGCCGATTTCAGCAGACGAGATTTCTATAAAATGGCAAGTGAATGTATAATGTATGATAATTATGTTGGTTGGAGGCCTATGGGGTATATCCTCTATTTGATTGACTAAATGAAGTGAGTATAACTAATGAATTGAGATGTAAGTTTGACATAACATGGTTTTGGAAAAGGGTGTAAAAGATCTGTCATTTGGAAATTGAACATGTGCATCATACTTATATCTTTGTCATATCCATATACTGTGTTAGATTGTTTCAACTAGGCTTTGGCTCACCCTACTTGGGAAACCATTTTCAAGTACCGGTGACATGCCTCCTCCAAGGACTTAGCTTGGGAGGACCTGGGAGCTGAAGGCTTAGTTTTGTCATTTTGTATTTAATATTTGTGCAAGCTTAGGACTTTATATGTATGAAGCTTAAGACTCTCTCTTTTGTTGTAACCAAGCATAGTCTTGGAAAGATGTAAGCCTGTAAGGCATTTATTTTGTTGGTCATTAAGTTGGTATCACAAGCTATAGATTCAGGGTAAGACTTATGAATGTATATCTCATGTGTCCCTTTTTTGTAAATTAACTCTGATTAATGAAAGATTACTTGTCTGTTCATGTCATTGTGTATATGTTGTTGGGGCCCGATTTATGGCATTTATTTCAAGGCGTCACAGGGTTTGATTGTTTGGAGTTGTTGGATTATGTTTTGAACAAGTTAGAAGTTAGTATTTCAAATGAATTTTTGTCTATTTGTTGTTGAGTTCGCTCGAGCGATCTTTCGTTTCTTCTAGTTTATGTGTTTTCAGTCTGAACTTCTAAGAGAGTGATATTATTCGCTTGAGCGATCTCTTTGCAGGTTTGAAACTCTGAGAGGATATCATTCTTTGCTCGAGCAATGTTTAGCTTGCTTAAGCGATCTACTCTACAAGGTTAGGGTTCTGGGAATTTGGTTTCTTCACTCGAGCCATGGTTTGGTCCTCAAGCAGTGTTCTGTGTCTGACGCTCGAGCGATGTTTTGGTCGCTCAAGCGGTCTGTGCATATAAAGGTATGAAAAAAGATATTTTCTTCCACTTTTTGGTTTCCTCTCTTTAAAAATTTTCTGAACTATTTTCTTTACTCTCTCTCTGTCTCTCTCTCTCTCTCTCTCTCTAGTTCTTATATAAATCACCCCATATACTTAAATCCTTGAATCTCGCAACCTTGGTGCTTTGAGATAAAAGGTAAAATGGAAAGAGGTGGTCGTTTTGATCTAAAAAATGTTCAAGATCCAACTCCGTTGATTTTGGGATTGTCCTTCTTCTCTTTTTCTTCTTTGAGGTAGGAATTTCTTTAATATTTATGCATGATATTTAGCTTTGTTATGTGCTCCTTGAATAAAGTAGCATTTCGAGATATTTCAGTTTGATTTGGTTTTAATTTGGGTTTGAAATAAGTTATAAAAGAGGGGTTTTGGAATGGGTTGTTTTGAAAGGTTATGAATATGGGTATATTGATGAGAATGGTTGAAATCTTGAAAACCTCACTTTAAAATGGGTTCTTGAAAGAAACATATATTGTTTTGAAAATCTTGAAAATTATTGGTTTTGAGTAAGAATGAGAAATGTTTGGATCCTTGATAAGTTGCAAAGTGGAGTTGGAACATGTATTGTTACTCCTGTATTGAAATTTTGGAGATTTATATCTGTTTACTTAAATTATCTTTTAAATATAAAAATATCTGTTTTAGCTATTGGTGGAAGATAATATTGATTTTCGTAGCAAGTGCATAAGAACTAGGTTAATGTAATAACCCGATCCTCGTACATGTTTTCCGGTATGCTTTTAGTTCCTTATTCTGTGCTTTTATGTACTTGCTGTGAAATTCCATGTGAAATTAAGTTTAATTGAGCGAATCTTATCATAATAGATTCATCTCTGTCTAATAAGAGAAATATATGTTACAATTATGATGTTTGGATCAGAAATTGGAAGCCTTAGGAATTTGATGATCTGAAATTGACTTTATAATTGAGTTCGGCATAATTTTTAGATCATAATATGATTTTCTGTAAAAATCTGTTCGGAATGATTAAATTGATTGATTTTTATTTTTAATCAATTTTTATGTATCTCTATCTATTTCTTATACTCTTAACTTGATAAGTCTCTCAAGAAAATATCTTCAGAGAGAGAGAGAGAGTAGAGAGAAAGAATCAAAGAGGAGAGCTTCAACAAACAAGAAAGTTGGAACTTGAGAAGAATTTGAGAGATTTAAGCTCAAGGTAAGTTTAATTCACCTTGTCCAACCTTTTCTTGGAGTTGAGTAAGAATTCTCTTTCATTCATACCATCTAGGGTTTGTAATTGAGATCTTGTGTGTGTATGTTGGTTAATTGGCAAGATAACCTTATCATTTGGTTGTTTTGACTTAACTTGAACTATCTAGTGAGAAACAACATTTTATTTCTTCAATTGTCTTGTTTGAGCTCATCTATGTGGACAAATGGCTATATACGTATGTATATATATATGTGTGTGTGAAAAGTTGGAAATATTATGGAATTGAACTATGTTTATGAGTTTCAAGGAATTAAAGACCTAATTCAGTTTGTGATTCATATTTATATGTTATTGAGCCATATTCTTGCAATAAATTGACCTATTTTGAGCCTTGTAATATGTTTGCCAAGTTGGGTTTTTGCCCTGATTCAAAGTGCACAAAACGGAGGTAATGACCGCACGTGCGGGGCTCACAGCCGCACGTGCGGAAAACAAGGGAACTCGAGGCTTGGCTACTGAAATAAAAACATGTGCGGGGGAGGATTACCGCATGTGCAGCCCACCTTCCCGCACGTGCGGAAGGGACTGTCGCACATGCGGCCCATGCCGAAAAATTTTGTCTGCTCCGTTTTCCTTGTTTGACCCTCTGATATTATTAAAATCTGTATTTGATGTTTTTAAAGTGTTGTAAATTCATTCGAAGCGAAACAAATCAGATATTGTTTAAAAAGAAAAATAGACTAATTTCTGAACTGCATGTGTATGTAGGGCACATACCGGAAGGAACTGCAGCTCCACCACAGCACTGTGAGTAATAGTACTGTAGTAGTACATTCGCTTATTGTTAATAATTATTATTATTAACGCTCTGTTATGCCAAGTTAACTATGCTAACCTTTATGAGCGATTGGAAAATCTGTGTACATCTGTACAACTCTGGAATTATTCTGCTTTGTTGGTATCTGGGCCAGAGGCCAATCTGTAAAGTCTGTTGCGCTAGAGGCAAATCTGTAAAGTTTGTTGGGCCAGAGGCTAATCTGTAAAGTCTGTTGGGCCTGAGGCTGATCTGTAAAGTCTATGGGGCCTGAGGCCGTTCTGTATGTTACTAGGCTTGAAGCCACTTTGTATAAAGATTGGACCCAAGGCCATTCAGAAAACATTTACAGAATAAGATTTATCACGTACTTATATACATTATAATTCAAGTTTATTCAGTGAATTGCTTAAGTACTATTATTCACTGAGCCTTGCTCACTCCGTGTTATGTCTGTCTCTGTAGGTAATCAACCTGGAGGTCGGTCTTAGTCCAGCTTCGGTCACTTCTTTTTGGTCAAGTAGTGTGAAGGAGCTTATGCATTTTGTGGGGTTCCCTTAATGTCCCATAGCTTGGTCCTTAGTCTTTTGTCTAATGTGACTAATCGTGTATAACCTTCTATACAAATATTTTTGCTATACGCCCACGTGCGGGGCTAGTTCTGTATATATGCCTATATATATGTATTTGTGTGTATGCAAATATCTGCTTCTTGTATATCTGCTTATCACATGTGGAACTGTTTAATGACGCATTGAGATCCTGGCATATAGGTGTTAGCTCGATGGATGTTGTTTTATGTTATTAATTGCTTCCGTTCAGGCCTCATAAGTTATACATATTGAATTTTATGTCTGTTTTTGAAGTGATTATGCCCAAACTTTTAGGGGCAAGTTTGGGGTGTGACAAGTGGTATCATAGCACGAGTTGCTATCTCACACACACGAATCCATTGAGCCTTAGGATGTCTAGAAAAGACTTAGGCATCATGCATAATATTCTGAAAGCATATGAAAAGATTGATGGCCACGTGAATTGTATATGTAATATCTGCTAACTCCAATGATTATGATCCATGTCCATTGTATATCTCTTGTGTATATTGTAATTGATTGTCATGTAGAATATGGTGAGAACAAGAATGGAAGGCCCAGAAGATTTTGCTTCTGCACGGTTGGACAGAATGGAAAGAATGATCATGGAAATGGCGGAGACTTTACGACAACAACAGCAACAACCACAACCACAATCGCCACCGCCACTGCCACTGCCACTGCCACCGGTACCTCCGCCTATGGTACAAGATTTCCACGCTGAGGACCGAACCATTACACTTACAAAGGAATTTAAAAAGATGAAGCCGCCATCATTCAAAGGAGGAATAGAACGAATGAAAGCTGAAGCGTGGGTGTTAGGGATAGAAAAGTTGTTCGAAGTTTTTCCTTGTACCGAAGCCCAAAAAGTGCAACTTGCTGCCTTCACTCTCGAAGATGAAGCACGGAGGTGGTGGATGCTTACAAGGACTGTACACCAAGGATTAACCCGGGACAAATTTTTGGAACTATTTTACGACAAGTACTTCCCTCAAAGTACGCGAGATAAGAAGGTGGCAGAATTTGAAACTCTCAGACAAGGAAATAAGACTGTTGCGGAGTATCATGCCCAATTCGCAGAACTAGCCCGGTTTGCACCTCATATGGTGGATACAGATTATAAGAAAGCACAAAAATTTGAAGGGGGATTATGGAATGCTATCCTTGATCGAGTCAATATGTTGAAGTTACCCACCTATGTTGATGTGTTGGAGAGGGCTGTTATAGCAAAGGGAAACATTGCTGCTCAAAATTGGATTTCCGAGTGGAAAGGGAAGAGGCAGAACATTCAATTATCAAAGGGGTCAGCCACTCCACCAAACAAGAAACAAAATTCAGGGACCTCTAGTACTTCCACCCCTACTCAAGATTCAACTCCTGTTTGTTCAGAATGTGGAAAGAAGCACCGTGGGACTTGCTATCGGTTGACTGGAGCATGTTTTAGGTGTAGCAAAACGGGTCATCTAGTAAAGGACTGTCCTCAGAGAACTCAACAAAATGGAAATAGGGCTACTGCAAGTTTAGCAGGGTCTACACCAGCTCCCAACACCAAGTGAGCTGCGAAGCCTATTAACAATAAAGACACTGCGAGACAAAGGAGGGTGTTTGCATTGGTTCCGGGAGATGTGCAAAATGCTGCAACAGTGGTGTCAGGTACATTTATTGTTCACGGTCATTCTGCTCATGTATTGTTTGATTCTGGCTCTACCCATTCCTTTGTGTTAAAACTATTTGCTCAAAATTTAGATAGATCTGAGGAACTATTATCTTATTCGTTATGTGTGTCTTCACCTTTGGGAGACTCTATGGTTTGTACTTCTGTATATATTTTGCTTATGAACTCCTAATTGGGGATATCCGGGTATATGCCAACTTATTGCCTCTTGACATGACTCACTTCGATGTTATTCTGGGTATAGACTGGCTGAGTGACTATCGTACGACAATTGACTATCTGACTAAGCAAATCAGTTTCCACCCTCCGGGACAATCAGAATTTACCTTTCAGGGACATGGAGTGACTTCTCCACCTTATTTGATTTCTGCAATGAAGGCCTGTAAATTAATTCAAAAAGGGTGTCAGGGGTATTTGTGCAGTGTCTTAGAAGGGCCACCAATGAATGGGAGTACTAGTATGATTCCGGTCGTTTGTGAATTTCTGGATGTTTTTCCAGAAGAGTTACCAGGAGAGTTAGTAGACCATGAAATTGAATTTACAATTGAAGTGGTGCCGGGAATTCAACCCATTTCCAAAACTCCGTATAGGATGTCACCAATTGAAATGAAGGAATTAAAGATTCAGTTGCAAGATTTACTTGATAAGGGGTTCATTCGCCCGAGTGTCTCTCCTTGGGGTGCACTAATTCTGTTTGTGAAAAAGAAAGATGGAACACTCTGATTATGTGTGGATTATTGGGAGCTCAATAAGGTGACAATCAAAAATAAATACCCCTTGCCCAGGATTGATGATTTGTTTGATCAGCTACAAGGGGCACAAGTCTTTTCGAAAATTGATTTACGGTCTGGATATTACCAATTGAAGGTCAAGGTTGATGACGTTGAGAAGACAGCCTTCCGAACCCAGTACGGACATTATGAATTTTTTGTTATGTCCTTTGGAGTTACCAATGCACCGGCGGCATTTATGGACTTAATGAACCGTGTCTTTAAGCCATACCTGGACGAGTTTGTGGTGGTATTTATCGACGACGTTCTGACCTATTCAAAGAATACAGAAGCTCATGAGAACCATCTTCGTTTAATCCTTCAAACATTACGAGACAAGAAATTGTATGCAAAACTGAAGAAATATGGATTCTGGCTACATGAGGTGACATTCTTAGGTCATGTGATAATGAAGGAAGGTGTATCTGTTGATCTGCACAAGATTGAGGCAATTATAAATTGGCCAGCTCCTACCAATGTAACTGAAGTGTGTAGTTTCTTGGGATTAGCAGGGTACTACCGGAGGTTTGTAAGAGATTTTTCTAAAATCGCAGTGCCACTTACCCAATTGACTCAAAAGAGGGTTTTGTTTGGGTGGTCAGAACAACGGGATTCTGCCTTTCAGGAGTTAAAAACAAAGTTAACCACAGCACCGGTTCTAGCACTACCATCTGGTACTGAAGGATTTATAATCTACAGTGACGCTTCTTATAAAGGACTTGGCTATGTACATATGCAAAATGGGAGAGTCATCGCTTATGCTTCCCGACAACTCAAACCCCATGAAAAGAATTATCCCATACATGATCTTGAGCTAGCAACAGTGGTTTTTTCTTTGAAGATATGGCAACACTATCTATATGGTATTACCTGCAAAGTTTATACTGATCATAAGAGCCCCAAGTACCTTTTTACCCAAAAAGAGTTGAATATGCGACAGCGACGATGGTTGGAACTTATTAAGGATTATGATTTGCCAATCCATTACCATCCTGGTAAAGCCAATACAGTTGTGTAGACACCCCATTTTTTACTAACCTTAAGACTCAGACATCATCGATTGAGCGCTCGGTGATAGTGCATGTTTGTGCTCGTTTCAAGTTTCCAGAGTTTTCGACTGAGTGTCTTGCCTCCGGGCCTCTGAACTCTTTGTGTTTTGACTCGGTTTGTGGACCAAGCCTTGTTTTCTCTTCCCTGGAGGGAGGGAGAGGTCTTGTAGACTACCCTTTTGTGGTCATAAACCACTTTTCCTGCTTGGAGACTAGCTTCCGATTTTCGAAGCCTTCGGTCGCGCGCCTTGTCTCGGGACCGCTTAACGTTCTCCGTTTGGCTTTGATTTTTGAACCATGCCTTCTTGACCTTGCCTAGAGGGATATTGCGGTCTGGTAGACCACTTTTTGTGGTCGTAGACCACTTTCCCCTCGTAGACCACTTTCGGTGCTCATTGACTAGTTTTCGGGGCTCCCAGCTGCACGCCTTGACCCCCGGACCCTTGTCTTGCATCCTTTTTGGCTTGTTTTTGAAATAAACCTTATTTTCCTTGCTTGGAGGGTGGAATGAGGGTGGGAGACCAGTTCTTCCCCTTGGAGACCACTTTTCCTGCTTGCCAGCCAGTTTTCTGGTCGACCAACTGGTTTTCTTGGTCTTTGGACCACCAATAGTGGTCGGCCACCACACCACCACCTTGCTTTCAGTGTGCAGACCACTCCTCCCCCATGGCCAACCACTTTTTATCCTGGAAGACCATTTGTGGTGGTCGGCCGACCACTACAAGTAGCTGGCCGACCACTTTAAGTGGTCGGCAACTTTCCAGCACCTTTTTGGAGATATTTTCTAGCCAGCTGTAACAGTTAGAGGGCACCGAAACCATCCTCCATACACGTGTATGGAGGGATGGCTTTAGACCTTAAGCTTACTCAACAAGCTTAACCTGTGGTTCTCTATAAAAGAGAACCTCCCCCCTCATGCCTTAGATTCAGATTTTTGTGCTTGAGCTATACATATCACTCTATCTCTATAATCCTCCATCTCTTTCATATTTATGCCTTAAAGTGTCATTTTATCATACTTTTGCACACAAACACATAGTGAAACACCATTTTTTGTTGCTGAGGCTATTTGAGGTTGGTTTTGGAGTTTTTGGATCGGTTTGAGCTCAGAAAAGTTACTGGAGTTGCAGCTTTAAAGTTGTTCTACAAGGGTGAGTTTCTAGCCCTTAAAACCCTTGTTTTTGTTTAAGCTTTTGGACCTACTTGCATGTTGTTTTAGACCTAACTTTCTACTGTAAAAAGTTCTAATTTTGCATGCTTGTAATGTTTGTTTAAGGTCTCTTTTGTGTTGAGGGTGGTCTACCCCCTCTTGTGCCTTGTTTGGCTTTGTTTTACACCATCACTTTAGGCCCTTGAGATCACTTTCTCTTGGCCTTTTAACCAATGAAATCTAGTGGATTTTCAGTGGTAAACTTGTGTTTTGAGGTCTTAAATAGAAGAGGGTCATCCCCTCTCCTTGTATCTTGGATGCTTGCTTCATTTGCCTCATATTTGAGCATGTTTGTTAAGCTTATGTTGGCTCCATCTTAGCATGTATTTGGGGTTATTTTGGCATGGCATACCACTGTTTTGATTTGGTTTTGTCACCTCATGCATGCTTAATACACTTGTAGTGTAAATCTTACAAACTAGCTTTGTGTGCTTCATGAAGTAGCATGCCTTTTTAGCATGTTTTGAGTCCATCTCAGTAGGTTTTTGGTGTTTTTTTAACATGCCTTAGATCTGTTTTGGCTTGGTCTGATGGCCCCATGCATGCTCCATGCACTTGTAGTGCAATTCCATTCACTAGCCTAATGTGTATCATGCTTTAGACCATCATTCTAGCATGATTTTGGCTTAACTCTAAGAAGCTTTTATTCATGTTTTAGCATGCTCTAGCTCTGATTTGTGTTGTTTTGGTCATGCATGCCATGCTTTGTATAGCCATAATGCATTTTAGCTCATTAGCTTTGAGTTTCCAAGCCACTAGCATGCATTGCTTGGACTATTTACATGATTTGGCATCATATGTTATGTGATTTCAGAGCATGTTTCATTGCCATGCATTCACATCTTTCACTCTTTCAATGCATTAGAGAGTTTGTGCTTTATGCCTTAACATGAGTCATTGTGTATGCCTTCATGCCTAAGCTTGCAAGCTATCATTTCAGTGTGTTTTGGGGGTTATTTTGCCATGATATAACTCTGATTTTTGTTGGCGAAGCCATCTCATGCTTGGTCTTAGTAGGTGTAGTGTAATCCTCCCTTTTGGCCTTGCATATTTCATGATTCATGCTCACCATGCTAGCTTATTTTGGCTTCCTTCCATACATGTTTTAGCATCATTTTGACATGCTCTAGGAGTGTTTTGGGTTGCCTTAGCCATATGTTTCATGTATTGCATAGCTGTAGTGCAATTGGCCTTACTAGCTTTGAGCTTTGGGCACCATAGCATGCTTCATTTGTATCATGTACATGATTTGGCATCATTTCACATGTCATTTCAGAGCATATAGGACTTCCATGTTCCCATTTCTTTCACCCTTTGAGTGCCTCTAAGGGTTGCGCATTGTTGCCTTGTTTGCGGCCTAGTGTATATGCATGCATGATTAGAGCATTTGAGCCCCTTCTCAGCAAAATTTGGTCTTTGTCTTGACCTATTTGAGTTCTGTCCATGGTTGGTTCATGCATTTGTGCCATGTATTGCATGCCTCTTCTATAGTCCTCTTTGCTAGCTTTAATGCTTTAAGGACCCTAGCATGCTATGCTTGTAGTGTTTGAGTGATTTGGCATCATTTCTTACTTGATTTCAGTGCTTATAGTGTTGTTACACTTCCACATTTGTCACTCCTTGAGCACCTTTAAGAGTTGTGTTCTTATGCCTTAATTCTTGAGCCAATTGGCATGCATGCTTGTCTTGCTTTCATGCCTTCATTTCTTAGCATAATGGCCACTGTTTTGGGCATGACTGAGGTCTATCCATATTCGGTGTAAGTCCATTGAGGATGTTTGTTTTCATGTTGTTTGCATGCTTATGTTGCCTTGCATTGAGTATGCATGACATTAGCATTGATAGGCTGCTA